TAGAGCCGGCAGGTGCTGCAGGAGCCCTGCGGTGTGTGGGGTGAACCCCGAGCAGAGTCCGAGGGGCCAGTCCAGCAGGCAGTGTCCTGCGGTGCCTTAGGGAAGGTCACCAGGAGCAGCGTGCATGGCAGTTCCCTGGATCAGCCGGGAGGGTGGCTTCAGGAGGTCACCACAGTGGCGCTGACGCTTTGGCATGGGAAGTGGGTACCTACCACACATGGCCCCTCAGCAGCACCAGGGGGGTCCACTCGCCGGCTCGTGCGTGAGTGGGCGTCCGGGGTTACACAGCACCTCCTTCCAGGGGTGCACTTCGTCTTCGACACAGCCTTCTCAAGGAACTTCAGCCTCCTGGAGAGCCAGCGAGAGTTCGTGCGGCGATTCCGAGGACAGGCCCTGCCCGTGCTGGCCTCCGCCTGCCCAGGTGTGCTCATGTGCAGGTGGCAAGAGTCCAGTTCAGGGGACACGGTGTGGACAGGAATGACAAGGTGGGGTGGGGGCTGGGGGTGCAAGCGGTTCTGAAGGACAGGTTAGCAACGTCGGCTCACGTGGCCTTTTCTGGAGAAGGAGCCGCCTGCCTTGGGAGCCGCCCGAAGTCACCTCAGGTCCCCTAGGCAGTGCCCGCCTGCACCCGAGCCCCGCGTGGGGGTGGGAGAGAACAGGAGCTGGCGCTCTTTCTTGTCATCGTGATCTGCCAGCGGGCCGCCCCTGGAACGTGCTGCTGCCGGTGGGTGCAGAGGCTGCCGTGCGCCCCCGCCAGCCCCGTGTGCCCCTGTCGCCTCAGGCTGGATCTGCTACGCCGAGAAGACCCACGGCAGCTTCATCCTGCCCCACATCAGCACTGCCCGGTCGCCGCAGCAGGTCATGGGCTCCCTGGTCAAGGACTTCTTTGCACAGCAACAGGTAACAGCGTTGGGCCAGCCCCAGGCTCAGGCTGGGGAGCAGCCAGAAGTGACCACGCTGGCCGCTGGCTGGGAGGCTGCAAGAAAGAGTCCTCTGCATGGGGTTCTGCCTGCCCGGGTGCGCCTCCGCCCTCCCTCCTTCCTGGTTTAGGCCCTTCCTCTCCAGCTGGGCGACAGAGCAGCATGTTCTGATCCAGAGGTGCTCACCGCTCACCCAGAGGCAGCCAGGCCCGAGGCTGAGGGAGCAGGAGGCTCCAGGCAGCCTGGGCTAGGAGCCCACCCCTTGGGCTACCAGGTGCATGAGGGTGGCCCTGGAGCCCCCTTGTCCCCTGCAGCCCTTCCCGCCCATTTCACCTGGGGCGGGTTGGTTCCCTGTGACATCCCTTTCCCCACCTGAGGTGCAGTGAGGGCCTGAGCTGAGCCGCAGGAGGCCCCTTCTCCTCCATTGGCCTTGGCTGTTAGGAGCACAGGCATGCTGGGAACGGGTCAGTGTCGTTTTCTGTGACAGCCAGGGCCCGTCCTGTCCGGGGACACATCCGAAGAGCCGGCAGGAGGTTTGCTGGGAAACAGGGTGAGGCTGGTGGTCCCGCGGGGTCTGGCCTGGCCACAGGATGGCTGAGATCCAGGCCGCGCCTCGGCCACCTCACTGCTGGGACTGCGGAGACTCGGGTTTCTTTCTCCTCGCAGCACGTGACCCCTGACAAGGTCTACCACGTCACGGTGATGCCCTGCTACGACAAGAAGCTGGAAGCCTCCAGACCCGACTTTTTCAACCAGGCGCACCAGACACGGGACGTGGACTGTGTCCTCACCACAGGTGTGGTCACACCGGGCGGCCCTGAGCCAGCCCCCCAGCCTCCGGGTCTGGTTCCTGAGTCCTGGGCACAGGTGGGACTGCCCAGGACCCTGGGGGCTGGCATACCCCCATCTCTCCCCTTGGAGCCCATCTGGGGGACCTGTGCAGGTGGCCCCTCAGTATCTCCTTGTTGGCTCTGAAATGAGTCCTTGGAGGCGGAGGAGATTCTCCAGTGCAGCCCCTCAGCTCAGCTCCCATTACTCACCCATTCCTGAGCTGAGCAGCCCCAGTCTCCCAAACTGCCCGAGAGGCTGGACAGCCAGGTGCCGGATGGGCACAGCAGCCAGGCAGCCTCCAGGGGGCTTCAGAAGTGACCCAGGTCTGGCCTCGTACCATGGGCTGGGGTGGACATCTGGGACCCTCTGGGGCCAAAGCGCAGACGACTGCTGGGGTGGCAGAAGCTCGATGTTCTTGGATCTCAGCGGAAGAGCGTCTGTGCCATGACTTCCTTGCAGGAGAGGTGTTGACACTGCTGGAGGAAGAAGGCGTCTCCCTGCCCGACCTGGAGCCCGTGCCTCTGGACAGCCTGTGCGTATGTCTGCCACCAGGAACCGTCATTTTAGCTTCCAATGCTGCCTCTGGAGAAGCATCCCCTGCCCCCTCCCCGCTCTGGGCTTGCTTCGCCACAGAAGTGGCTGAGTGGCCGGGAGCTGTGGCTCACACCTGTAATCCCAGCACTGTGGGAGGCTGAGGTGGGTGGATCACCAGAAGTCAGGAGTTCAAGACCAGCCTGGCCAACATGTTGAAACCCTGTCTCTTTTTTTTTTTTTTGAGACAGAGTTTCGCTCTTGTTACCCAGGCTGGAGTGCAGTGGTGCGATCTCGGCTCACCGCAGCCTCTGCCTCCTGGGTTCAGGCAATTCTCCTGCCTCAGCCTCCTGAGTAGCTGGGATTACAGGCACGCGCCACCGTACCCAGCTAATTTCCTGCATTTTTAGTAGAGACGGGGTTTCACCATGTTGACCAAGATGGTCTCGATCTCTTGACCTCGTGATCCACCCGCCTCGGCCTCCCAAAGTGCTGGGATTACAGGCATGAGCCACCGCGCCCGGCCTAAACCCTGTCTCTACCACAAATACAAAATTTAGCCGGGCATGGTTGTGGGCACCTGTAATACCAGCTAGTTAGGAGGCTGAGGCAAGAGAATCGCTTGAACCTGGGAGGCAAAGGTTGCAGTGAGCCAAGATCATGCCACTGCACTCCAGCCTGGGCAACAAAAGCAAATTCCATTCCAAAAAAAAAAGTAGTGGCTGAGACCCCATGGTGGCCAGGAAGTGGCTGGCCCCCCATGATGGCCAGGGACACAAGAGCTGTTCCTCTGTGCCTGGGACTTGTCTCCCACCTGGAAATGCAAACACTCACACGCTCGGGAGGTTGGCAGGCAGCAGCCACAGCTGTGCTGAGGCCTCTCCCTCCTCGCCAGGTGCAGCGGAGCTTCTGCAGACGAGCCCACCAGCCATCGGGGAGGGGGCTCGGGCGGCTACCTGGAGCACGTGTTCCGGCACGCGGCCCAAGAGCTCTTTGGAATTCAAGTGGCTGAGGTTACCTACAAACCCCTGAGGTCAGTGGGATGGGCCAGATATCTGGACGAAGGGGCCACACGGTCCACTGCCTTCCTCGGGCTGCTGCCTCGGCCCCGGGTCCTCACGCAGAGGCGGACTGGGTGGAGGACGGCCTGCAGGGTTAGGAGGGGACCCTGGGCACAGGCAGGGCCTTTCTGGCTGTGAATGCACCGAAGTGCTCCAGGCCTCAGTCTGCCCATTGTGGGGAATGGGGACCCTGAGCCCGAGGCCAGTGTGGGCAAGGGTGGCGGGTACCTGGCGTGGGGCTTGTAACACCATGTCCCAGGAGGGAGGGCCGGGGCCTCACAGACTTCCCTGGGGAGGGAGGCCCATCGTACAGATAGGGAGCCCAGGCTGGGGGTGAGGCCACCTGCTGGACTCGTGGAAGTGAGATTTCCACCCTCTCTGCCTGTCCTTGTTCTTCCCCCTGCCCAGTAGAGAGGGGGGCAGCACTGGGAGCTGCCTGGTCATCTCCTAGCCCCAGCAGGCCTCCCCTTCCAGGTGGGCCGGAGCCGGTTGGCTGTGCCACATAGACAAACCCTGTCTGTGCCCCCAGGAACAAGGACTTCCAGGAGGTGACGCTGGAGAAGGAGGGCCAGGTGCTGCTGCACTTTGCAATGGCCTATGGCTTCCGCAACATCCAGAACCTGGTGCAGAGGCTCAAGCGCGGGCGCTGCCCCTACCACTACGTGGAGGTCATGGCCTGCCCCTCAGGTAGCTCCCGCAAGGGACAGCACATGAGAGCCCCTCCTGGGACCAGAGCTGTGGGCCACCGTCCAGCAGGCTGGGAGTGGGAAGAAGTGCGGCACGGGCACCCCGTCACCTCCCTGCTCCCGGTGGTCAGGAGGCTTGGCCAGGGCGCGTGCTGTGACCCATGTGTCCCATCTGCTCTGCCACAGGCTGCTTGAACGGCGGGGGCCAGCTCCAGGCCCCAGACAGGCCCAGCAGGGAGCTCCTCCAGCACGTGGAGAGACTGTATGGCCTGGTCCAGACAGAGGCGCCTGAGGATGCACCTGGGGTTCAGGAGCTGTACACGCACTGGCTGCAGGGCACGGACTCAGAGCACGCGGGCCGCCTGCTGCACACACAGTACCACGCCGTGGAGAAGGCCAGCACCGGCCTGGGCATCCGGTGGTAGGGGCTGCGGGACCTGGATTCCCAAGAGGCCTTGCGTGTGAGGTGACACAAGACCCCAGGGCTCCCCCCAAAATTCTCAGTGAGCTGCAGGGTGTGCTGGTACCCACGTAGGAGCCAGGACTGGCCAGGACCCCGGCCGCCCCATCGCCTCCAGTCTGGGTGCCTCTGGGTTCTCCACTGGCTCTGCCCAGGTGGGGTGGGGCCGCCCAGGCAGCAGAAGCCTCCCTGAGGTTCCAGAGCCTCTTTGGCTAATCCCTGGGCTGCGGCCCACAGATGCACCCAGGTGCATGAGAGGCTTCAGCCTGTCCTGGGGTTGCCTGAGACGGAACAAGATGGGTTCTTACCCCCAACTTCTAGAGGCTTCCCCTGAAGCTCTGCGAAGAAGGTGGGAGACAGAGCTGGTCCTGCCGGGCCCCCTGGAAAGCTCCGAGGGGCGAGCTAAGGACACCAGCAGGCACCAGTGGCTGCATCACCCCCCAGCCAGGTCCCCACCAGGCCCGTCTCCCAGCGCTTACGTCGAATAAAGGCACCCTCCTCGATGCGCCTCTGAAAACAGCTCCTCCTGGCACGTCTGCCAGCACTGACAACGGCTTTATTCGTGGTTCAGAAGCCCCATGCATCCCACTTCCCAAACACCCAGGTCTCCGGGCCCCCACGGGCCCCGCAGAGTGGTCACGCATGTCCACCCTCTGAGGCTGGGCAGCTGGCAGGCCAGAGCCTCTTAGAAGCTTCCAGAGGTGGCCCTTGCGTGAGTCCAGCTGGCTGAGGTCATGAAGAGGCATGTGAGACCCAGCCCTGTGAGGGTCTGTGGGGGGCTCACTTGTTGGGGGCTGCACTCAGGAGCCCCCACTGCAGCGCAAGGAGGGCCCGTGCCTGTGGCTGCCTCGGCTCGCCTGCCTGTTCGAAGCGTGCCCGCTCCTCGCAGAGCACCTCCAGGACGTCGGCGGGGCCCGCCTTGCCCGTGAACTTGCGCACCGGCTCCTCTCTGCGGGAGGGGTGCAGTGAGGCGTGGGGCCCACCGCTGACGCGGGAGGGTGGGCAGGAAGGCACTTAATGAGCAGCCTCCCCCGAGCCAGGGATGCTCAGCCCTCCACGAGGCCCCCAGATGCCTTCCTAAGGGTCCGCACGCCTGCCGAGGCCCCAGACAACGGCCATACTCACGCCACCCGCAGGAAGGGGTTGTAGAGGCGCTCCTCGCCCAGAGTCGAGGGCACTGTGGGCACATCGTCCTCGTCCCTCTTCTGGAGTGACCACAGGCCCTGGTCATCATTGGGGCTTGTCTGAGAGCCCCCCAGAGCCCGTCCTCCCCCACCCTCCAGCCGAGGCGGGAAGGGGCCGTGCCTTAGCCCAGGACAGCTTGGCTCTCACGTGGTCGTTGCAGGGCTCCACTTTCTGCGCAAACTCCAGGTTGCTGAGCGTGTGCTCGTGGCCGCAGAACACCTTCTGGAGGAAGAGCCTCGGTGAGCGCGCACGCTCTGCCCTCTGGTGGGCATTCACTCTGCACCCCGGCACAGTGCGGGTGCGGAGCGTGGGGGCTGTGCCCACGGGAAAGGAGGGGAGGGCCCAGGCCCGCTCACCGTCTCGGGGGGCAGGGTGCTCAGCTCGGCCAGGCTCTGGTACATCTGCTGGGCGCTGCCCTCCAGGCACGAGCCGCAGCCGGCCACCAACAGCGCGTCCCCTGGCGGGGGAGGGCGGGTCAGAGCAGAGGGGGCGGGGCCGGCGGGAGGCGGGGTGGGCGCGCTCCGCGCTGCGGGTACCCGAGAACAGGGCGGGTGGGTCCGGGCAATCATCCTCCCACAGGAAGTAGCTCATGTGGCCGGAGGTGTGGCCGGGCGTCAGGAGGCAGCGCACGTGGATGGCCCCAAACTGCGGCGGAGGAGCAGGCGGACCCATGAGGGCGGGCGGTCCCGGGGTACCCACCCCGCCCTCCCGGGGGCGCGCGCTCACCCGCAGCTCCTCGCCGTGCGCCAGCCTGCGCGTCAGCGAGAAGATGCGCTCGTCCGCGCCCAGCACCGCCAGCCCGGGACGCAGCCGCGCCAGCTCCGGGTTTCCCCGCGCGTGGTCCCTGCAGACGGGCGGGCGGGGCCAGGTCAGGTCCGGGTGGGGCTGGGCGGCGTCCTCGCGCCTCCCCCCGCCCCGCCCCGCCCCGCCCCGCCGGCGCTCACCAGTGATGGTGGGTGGTCAGCACGGCGGTCAGGGACACCCCCTCCCGGCCCACGATCTCCAACAACTGAAAGGGACGGGAGTTGTCATGACACAGACGGTCCCAGTGGGCCATTCCCTCCCTCTCCATATCGGGGCGCCAGGTCCGCCGCGCTCAGCGCCCCAGGCCGGCCAGGACCCTGGGCAGCGCCGGAGAGCGGGGACCCAGCGGGCAGTGACTGCGCCCCTGCACCTGCGGGGACGGCCAGGCAGCAGGGGAAGGGCGGAGGCCAGAGGCGCCCTAACTTTAGGGAGCCACGAGATGATGGAGCAACCCCAGCCGCCAGTGACGCCCGGAGAGCAGAGCACGTGGGGACCGCTCATGCCAGGGGGTCAGGGAGGCTCTCGGGGGCGGGGGGCACGGCCGTGTCCCTGCGGCCCGCGGCCTGCCCTCACCCTCTTGGGCACGGCCACGTCCACGGCCACCGCCTCGCGCGTGAGCTCCTCGATGACCAGGTACATGTAGTTGTCCTCAAGCACGGGGATGACCTTGACCTTCATGGCCACGGAGCTTGGCCACCGGTGCCTGTTCCAAAACAGGCCCCCCAGGCCACGGTGCCCCTTCAGGGCGGGGCCCGCTCTCCACACCTTAGGAAGGGCTGTGTGAGGCGGGTCGGTCAACACGCTGCGGGGGCAGAGGAGGAGGCTGGAGGCTCCCCAGGAACTCCCCGGCACTCGCGTGGAATTCCACGCACCCGGCTCCTTCGAGAGCGGAACCCGGCCCCTCCCGACCCCGCCCCCAGCCCGAGCCCCGGCCCCCGAAGGCCCCGCCTTCCTCCCAGGCCCCGCCCCTCGGGCCCCCGACCCCCGGCAGACGCATTTCCCCGCCGCCCGCCTCACCCGCACTGCTGCGCTGACAGCCCGAAGGGCGGACAGATGGAGGCGGGGCCTCGGCCGCCGGTCACGGGGTCCGGACGGAGTGCGGCGTTGGGCTTGGGAGGCGCCAACCGCCCCACTCCGCGGACTCGCCTTGCCTCCGCCCGGCCGGGATCCTGCGCGTAGTGAGACCACAAGGCCTGCCAGGGGTGCTTGCGTGCCAGGTGGGGCGCCGCGCGCAGGTTCTGACCCCTCCGGGCCCGGCGCTGGCACCTCCTCCAGGAAGCCCTCAGGAGCCCGGGCTGAGTCAGTCGGTTCCGAGTTTTCTGTTCCCAGTGGGGACGTCTGCGCCCCCACTTCTCAGGCCGGAGGTGCAGAGATCTGTCCAGTTTGTTCACCTGCCCGTCCCGGGGCTCAGCCAGCACTGCAAGGTTCACAGAAGGTGTCCGATAAGTGTGGCCCAGGGCACCCTGCGTGCGGGTAGCGCGCTCCGTTCTGCGTGCTTGTCGCCGCGCCCGGGTTGAGTGCTTTCACGCACGTGGTTCCATATGCACAGGGGAGCGCTGGGCCGCATTCCCCAGAGGGGGAAACGTTGGCAAGGAGAGGAAGAGCTGTCCTTCCTCCTCCACAACCTTGGGTCTCGCCCTGCCCCTTTGGGCAGGGCCCTGGCAGTTTCCTGGGACCAACAGAGGCCTTGGCAACGCGCACAGCAGTGCTTGTGGTGGTGGCAGCCGCCATAGGGAGGCCAGGCATGGAGGTGGTACCTGGCTCGGAGCAGGCCAGGGTCCCCTCACCTATGGAGCATGCAGCCACCACAGGCCCCAGGCCAGGACCTCCCCTTCGGCAGGTGGAGAATGTGAGTCCTCAGGGAAGCTGCTGCTCCTTCCACGGGACTGGAGTCTGCCCTTTCCCGCAGAGGCCAGGAGGGTGCAGGTCCCTGTACTGTGGGTCTGATCTCAGCTAGGGGAAGGACTTTTGCAGCTCAGCCAGGCGGGAAGCAGGGCTGGTGATCGCATGGGAGTGAGACCACAGCCCTCTCCAGGTTGTGCCACGAGCCAAGGACTGCCTGCCAGGAGCTCCTGGGGGCACCGCAGCCTGGGCCACCAGCCTGGGGGCAGAGGTTCCACCAGGTCTAGCGCTGAGTGAGGAGCAGCAGCTGCAGGTGGGTGTGGGCGCCCAGGGTGCTGTGAGGAGGGAGGGTGCTGGCAGACCCCACAGATGCCACCTCTCACCTGGCCACCCGCAGATCTCCAAGGAGCTCGTGGACATCCAGATCACAACCCACCGCCTGCAGGAGCAGCACGAGGCTGAAATCTTCCAGCTGAAGAGTGAGGTGAGCAGCTGTGTGCCAACCTCAGTGCACAGGAAACAGAGGGGTGCAGGCCCAGGACATGTGCCCTGTGTGGGCATGCACATGAGAGTGGCATCCGTGGGTCCTGGCCTGCCCCATGAGTGCTGAGTGCCCAGGCGTGTGCTGGGCCAATGCTCACTTCCCCCAGCAGCCCGCAGGCAGGTGCACCTGCTCATGCCAGTTGTCCCACAGATCCTTCGGCTGGAGAGCCGGGTGCTGGAGCTGGAGGCTGACCCCAGGCACTGCCGGGCACTAGCCCAAGAGCACAGACACAAAGCCCAGGAGCCTGGACACTCTGATGACCGCAGACGCCAGGTCACCGTGAGCACATGGAGGGCCTGTCTGGGAGAGGCCAGATGGAAGCCTCAGCAGGGGCTCAGTGAGACCGGGGCCCACCACCCCTCAGCCCTTCCTGCCCTCCCTTCTGTTCAGGTGCAGCCCAAGGACTTCACGAGCCCCCAGAACAAGCAGCAGAGGCTGGGGAGCGGCGTGAGTGTGCAGCCACCTAGCTCAGGGCGAGGGCAGCACAGGGGACCCCAAGCCTAGGCTCTCATCCACCAGCCCTGTGTGCCCCACAGCTGCTGGGGGGCCAGGGGCAGCTTCAGAAAGAAGTAAAGTGGGCACTGGAGCGTCAGGAGGCCCGGCAGCAGGCACTGGAGACTCGTGTGTGAGTGGCTGTCTCACCTGGGGCCTGGACAGCTCAGCAGGACCCCACTGCGGAGCAGAGAACCCCTCACCTGCCGTGGGCCTGCTGAGCTTTACCCCATGTCCTCAGGGCAGCCCTGGGCCAGCAGCTGCAGGGAGCCCAAGAGGAGGCCAGGGCAGCCAGGCAGCAACTGGCCATACAGGCTGCGGTGAGGCCCTGCCCTGCCTGCTTGGAGACCTGGAGGGTGGGGCCCCACATGCCCATCCGGGTCCATTCCTGGGACACAAGTTGAGGGCCGCCTCTGCCCCAGGTGCTATGCAGCTGCCAGGGCCAGCTCCGCCAAGCAGAGGCTGAGAACGCCCAGCTGCAGCTGCAGCTCAAGAAGCTGAAGGAGGAGTACGTCCTGCGGCTGCAGCGCTGCGCCCGGGAGGCGGTGGTGAGCCCTGCAGGAGCACCCTGAGGCCTGGGGAGCCCGGCCTGGCTGGGTGTCTGCGACAAATTCAGGGACATCCCGTGGGCCCCCTGCCCCCACTGCTCAGCCTGCTGGGGCCGGGGGTATGGCTGGAAAACATGGGGGTGGGTCCCGTGCGGAACCAGCCCGCCACCTGCAGGAGCACGCAGACAGTGCAGGCCAGGCACCGGCCAGCACGACCCTCCGGACGTTCCTGGAAGCCACTCTGGAGGACATCCGGGTAGCGTACCGTGGCCGTGAGCAGCAGCTGGCCCGGGCCGCCCGCACCTATCAAAAGCGGCTGGCAGACCTGAGCCGCAGGCATGAGGAGCTGCTGGGTGCCTACAGGTGGGCTGCACCCTGACACCAGCACTTGGGGTGGGAGGCATCTCTCAGCCTCTGAGCTGCAAAGCTGAGTGTACAGCAGGAGTGGCCCCACACAGACACTGGCCTACCCCAACAGGGCACCTGGGAACCCCAAAGCTAACTTCAGTGCAGCTAGCTCGGACCTGGAGCCACTGCCCATGCCGCTGGTCACTGACTTCAGCCAGCAGGAGGACCAGGTGAGGCTAGAGAACCCCAGAAGCTCCAGGCCCAGGTGTCTCCCACCCACCTGCTGCCCCACACTGGCCTGTGGGCACAGAGCCCCAGAACTTGCCCCAGGCTTCATCCCGGGCTCCACAGAGACCCCAGGCCCGGGCATCTGAGGGGCCTGCCTTGTCCAGCCAACTGAGGTGTCCCCACCACAAACCTCTGCAGCACAGCCGGCCTAGGGCGCTGCTGTCAGCCCCACAGAAGGGACCCAGTGATGCCTCCCAGAGGGCAGCGTCTGAGCCACAGTGAGTGCCCTCACAGGTGTGGGGGAGGCCTGCAGGCAGAGGGCAGAGTGTGCCACATCCAGGCCCTGAGTCCCCCAGTTACTCCACCACGCTTGCTGGGCAGGGTCTGGTCACAGCAGTGCACTCAGTGGCATGTCCCCACCCCCAGGTCCCTCTGTGGTACCAGGGACACTGATAATCACAGAAGAGGGAAAAGGGGCCTGCTGTGGGCCTTCAACATGGTGGGTTGGGAGAGCACATCTGGATGACCTGAGGGACGGGAGCAGGGTGCCCGGTGCCCCAGTCAGCCCGTGCTTCTGGGCCTCCATGTTTGCAGCTGTACAATGGGCAGGGCTCCCCAAGGACCACCTCCCAGGGTTTAAGGCACACTGTGGGGTGGCATCCCGCTGACGCTGGGGTACTGTCCGGACTGGCCTGTGGTTTAGCCCTCCCTGAACAGCCAGCAGACCCCTGGGCCCGGGCTACCCCATGCACAGATGGCTCCAAGGCCTAGGCTGGGCCACAGGAGCACAGGGGGCCATGCCGTCCCTCAGTCACTCCCAGTTGTTCCCTCCCAGCTCTGGGAGCCTTAGCACAGTCACAGGTCTGCCCCAGTGTCACCACGCCAGCTCTCGAAACCACTCCTCCTCCTCCCCTCAGGGACCTGCACGCTGAATCCTGGGCCCAGATCCACCAGAAGCTCCGGGAGTTTTCCCGCAGCACCCAGGTAGGAGGCAAGGGCTGGCCTGGGCCCCCGTCACACCACGCCCCGGCTCATGCCCTACACCCCCATGCCAGGCAGAGCTGGAACAGGAGCGGGCACAGCTGCTGGTCCGGGCCACGATGGCTGAAGAGCAACTTTCTGAGCTGCAGGAGTACGTGGATCAGCACCTGGGCAGGTGGGCGCTCGGGAGGGGAGCTGGGTGGGGCCTGAGGGCCCTGGTCTGGCCAAAATGGAAGATGATGGCCATCTCGGGGGCTAGAGCTGGGCAGGTCACTTAAGCCTGGTCCCTCTGAGCAGGTACAAGCAGGAAATCCTGAGGCTGAGAAAGCTGGCCAGTGCAGGGGACCCCTGGAAAGTGGGGGCTGTGCCTCCAGCCAAACCTCAAGATCCTAGAACCGGCAGCTACTAGTTCGTCTCCCAAGAAGCTGAGCAGATCCCGTCACAGCCAGCACCCCCACCAAAACATGAATAAAGATAGAACCCACAGAGTCTTTATCGTGTCTGAACATTTAGCTTGCGTGAGAAACGGGGGTCCCCGGGACAGAGGCAGAAGTAGGTCCAGGAGCAGCCTGGTCCAGAGGCAACCTAGAGGAGGCGTCCTCCCCAGCCTGCCCACCCCCAGGAACCTCATACGCCCAGACTCTGTCCAGACCCTCGCCAAGCATGGCCACCGGCTGCCAGGTGGGGAGTGGGAAGCGCCCAGATACCACTCGGGCTCCGGCAGGCAGCTCTGCCCGAAGCTTGTCCTCCAGCAGTGAGAGCTGAAGGAGAGAAGAGCAGAGTACAGACGGTGGGGCCGCTGGAAAACAGCCCCCCGCCCTCCTTTCCCAGCCCTAAGCCTAGCACCCACCAGGCTGGCCCAGGCCTCAGAGCAGTGAATACCCTGGGGTGTGGCCGGGAATTCCCAGCGGGCTGGCAACTCCGGACCTACCACGCTAGGGGCCAGGAACACAGACACGTTTCGGCAGTCCCTCAGGCTCACCTGCAGGAAGAGGGGTTGCCCAGCCGGGGAGAGGCCTGGTGGGCACGGGGTCCCCGCAGCTTCCGAGTCCCGGCCCCCAGCCCTCGCAGGTGTCAGCGGGTGGCCAGGGCTCCCCAGGTTACCTTCCAGAGATCCTCGCGGTGATAGCAGACGCTGCCAGCACAGCCGGCCCTCCAGGCGTGCAGCCGCGCCAGCGCCACCAGCCACGGGTTCAGCTCGTAGCCCACGGCGGGGCGGAGGCCGCACCGGTGGGCCGCCAGCACCTGTGGGCACCGAAAACGTGGGAAACTGGATGGGGCAGGGGCGCCCGCCGGCAGGTGGGGGGCGTGGGGGCGGCTAAGACCCAGGCGCGGGCACTTACGATCCTGCCGTCGCCAGAGCCCAGATCCACCGTTTTTCCAGGGCGGCCTCGCAGCAGCGACAACACGTGCTCCACCTGCCGCGCGCTCGCGCCGACGTAGGGCACCTGGACAGGGAGGCGGCGGGAGTGCACTGGCCGCTCCCGCCCCCACCCAGCCCGCGGCCCGGCCCCGACCACCCGGCGAGGGGCGGAGCTCACCCAGACCCCGCCCAGACCCCGAGCGGCGGCAGCCGCGGGTCCCACCCCTGCCCCGCCCAGACCCTGAGCGGCAGCCTCGGGCCCCGCCCCTTCCCCGCCCAGACCCTGAGCGGCAGCCGCGGGCCCCGCCCCTTCCCCGCCCAGACCCTGAGCGGCAGCCGCGAGCCCCGCCCCTTCCCCGCCCAGACCCTGAGCGGCAGCCGCAGGCCCCGCCCCGCACCTGCAGCCGCAGCGGCACGCGCCGGAAGCCGGGCTGGAGCAGCAGAGCCCACACCGCGTAGGCCGCCAAGCCCGAGCCGGCCGCCGCCTGCAGCAGCTCCAGCGCGCCCAGCCGCCGCTCGCGCAGCTCAGTCAGCACCTCGGCTGGGTCGTCCTGCTCCATGGCTGCGGGACGCGCGGCTCAGGGTCACCCGCCCAACGTCGTTCCCGGCTCGGGACCGCGGCACTGGCAGCTGACGCTGCGCCCTCCCCCTCCCGCTGGGCCTCGCTGCTAGACGCCGGAAGTGGCCGGCAGAGCCCGCGCGCTCGGTCCGTTGCGCTGTGCGCTCCGCCCGGCGCGGCTGCCCTCCCGCGGGTTCCGGCCAACGGCAGCCTCGCGGGCGCTGCTCCGCCGTGTCCCGCTCCAAGCCTGCGAGGGTCGGCTCCGCTGGTCCGCTCTGGAGCGCCGTTGGCGTCCTGTGTTGGGTGCTGGCGACCCGCGGAAGGGGACAGGCAGGCCCTGCCCGAGCGCACATCCCGATGGTCTCCATGGAAACGGGGCTGCGCATCTGTGGCGTGGAAGGAAGAGACTGCCCTGGAGAGGGGCGGTCCTGGCCCCAGAACCAGCCGGGGGCTTGCGCGGGGCGGCTGGAGCCCAGGGAGCCCGTGGGAAAGCGGCTCCCCGGGATGAGACAGCGTCCAGGCGCCAGCACCCCCATGACTCTGACTCGTGGAGACTGGCGGGGGGCGCTCTGCTGACCGGGATACCCAGCGCCAGCCAGACCCAGGAGGGCATGCAGTTCCCTCCTGCAGCTTGAGTGCGGGAAAGGGAGAGGGGCTGACCCGGAGAGCTTGAGCAGGCCAAGGGAGACAGATGCTGGCTTTCCCGTGAGCCTGGTGGGAGGACAGCCGGACGTCACAGGCCGGGGCCTCTGGCGCCCGCCCCAGCTGAGAGATCACCTTCCTTCTCCAGAAAACAAAACACACGAAAAAATTGAGTTCCTGGCCGGGCGCGGTGGCTCACGCCTGTAATACCAGTACTTTGGGAGGCCTAGGTAGGGCAGATCACAGGGTCAGGAGTTCGAGACCAGCCTGCCCAACATGGTGAAATCCTGTCTCTACTAGAAATACAAAAATTAGCCAGGCGTGGTGGTGGGCACCTTTAATCCCAGTTACTTGAGAGACTGAGGCAGGAGAATCACTTGAAACTGGAAGGCAGAGGTTGCAGTGAGCTGAGATGGTGCCACTGCACTCCTGCCTGGGTGAGTGAGTTCTGGAGGTGACCTTGTGAAGCCAGGGGTTGGAGGTGCACGTCGAAGAGCCCTGGGTCAGGCAGCAGGGCTGTGACCTGCACACCCAGGGTCGGGCTGGACGCCCGTGAATGTAAGGGGTTGCCTGTGCCTGCCCCGGTCTGGTTCCTTAGCCATCCATGGCTGGGGTCAGGAGCCCCTGCAGGGACAGAGGCTGCTTCCAGACAACATGGGTATGCCCCAGATCACTGTTCCCAACCTCCGTGTGAGCCCAGCATGCCCAGCTGGGAGTCTGGGGAGAGGAGAGGTCCTGTCCCCGAGCCTGCAGCATGCCCAGCTGGGAGTCTGGAGAGAGGAGAGAAGCAAGGAGCCTGAGGAGGAGCAGAAGGTGGGAGGAACTCCTTCTGGGTGTCAGCCCAGTGACTGACACCCAGGCGGCTGTGCTCCTCACCCATTCTCATCAGCCCCACAGCAGGCAGGCGATCTGTGTGAAACGATAAGCCCCTTGCATGTGCAGCTTTCAGACAACCTGCAGGGTGGAAGTCCCAGGGTGGTGCTGGAGGTGATCCCCCCAGGTGTCCACAGAGGGCACGCACCCACCAGGCACCTCCATCTACCGGTCTGGAGGAAGGGCCTTGTTGGTGGGCCCTGCACAGCTGTGTCCCTCACCCAGGCTCACTTTGCTCCCTGAAAGCTGGGGACTTCATCTGCCTGGGTAGGGCCTCTGGCCTCTACCCCAGCCTGGCCCAGATGAGAATGGAAAGCCAACTGTTTCTGGGACTCAGCGCAGGGGTCCCCTGGCCCGGTAGCCGTGGCTGTCTCTTTCCCGGGGTCTGAGGGGTTGGGGTGAGAAGAGGCAGCTTGAGCAGGGCCAGGGGGCCTGGAACACCCCCACCCAGGGGCTTTTAGCCTTCGGGTCTCGAGCTGTGGCTGTCCCAAACCTCACTGCCCTTTCATATGGCTGAAAAGCTGATGAGGAAGGCAGAGACAGTGACAATGGGGCCAGTGTCAGGAAACAGTCCTTAGAGACCCCATTGTGCACCCTGCCCGCTGGAAACAGGCAACAAGCAGGACCCTGCAGAGGGGACCCCCACACCCTTCAGGCTCCTCACCACGTCTGGATGCTCGGCATGTTGGAGGGGCCTTTGGACAGAGGGGCCCATTCTTCCCCAAGGGTGGGGCAGGGCCAAGGATGACTTCGGGCTCACAGCAGCCATGGAGAGATGTGGGCACCCTGCCAGACTGCAGCCCTTTCCCTCACAGGCCTGCTCAGAGCCAGAGCGCCATGCACCCACCTGCCCCCACCACACCTGAGGGACCCTTGGCCCCTCAGCCCCTTCCCTCTTCTGCTGAGCCCTGGAAGCACCTGGCCCAGGAGGCAAGTGGAAGCCTGCCAGGATAGCAGCTGAGGGCTAGGCTAGGACGGGGCAGGTGGGCACAGCAGAGCAGAAGCTTGCGTGAGTGCAGGTCCCGTGTGGCCCCCACCCAGCAACAGTCCCTCCCTGGGATGTGGCTGTAGCTCCTCCTCACATCTGCTCTCCCTCTCAGTTGCCAAGTGGTCTTGAACAAGGTTACCATTCCCCCAGTAACCCACCAGGAGGCAGGAACTGGAGCCGTCCTCACAGCTGCAAGGCAGGCCCAGGCCTGGGCTGGACACAGAAGACCAGATCCACAGCAGCCCATGTCACCAGAGTTCTTATTGATGGCCCCCCACCCTCCCTCCTACCAGCCCCTCCCCAGCACCCTGCCCCAGAGGAGGTCCAGCTGGCGCTGTGCCCATTCCCTCAGTGAAGCACCACCTCGCAGGGGTGGCAGTGGGCAGTTTGGGCAGCCTCGTAGGCATGGCAGAACTCCTGGAATCGTGGGGCACGGCCCAGCCAGGCCTCCCCGAAGCGGCTCTAGCCCATGAAGAGGAAGATGCCTGGGCCTGGGTGAATGCCGCAGTGCAGTGGGGTATGAATGGAGATCAGCCTCTGGTCCCCGGAGCCCCCCACCCAGAACCGCAGCAGTGTCTGGTGGAGGACACGGCCGGCCACCACGCTGATGATGGACTCCTGCAGCTCTGCGTCATGGGTGACCCCGTGGATGGTCCCATGAATTACTGCGGCGGGGGGGGGGGGGCATGTTGGCTGGGGCAGGAATTCAGGGGAAGGCACTCCAGGCTCCCCCATGGTAGGACACTCACCAAAGTCGCTGGTGCACACAGCCAGGAGCAGCTCAGCACCGCTGCAGGGCCTGCAGGCACCTGGCATGCAGACGGGGTGGTGAGGACAGGCGCTGCCCTCTCCCAGCAGCACCCCAGGCCCCATTACTCCACACAGGCGGCAGGAGGCAGCAGGCAAGTCAGCAGAGCCCGTGCTCAGAGCCTGGTGGCACCTGGAGATCCCAGGGAACCACACGGCAGATGCACACACCCTCAGCAACACCAGTACTCAGGAGACACACTTGCAGGCACACACCTCAATGGCAGAAATGCACACAGACATGAGCCTGGGGGCAGTGCCCGGCAGTAAGCTGTCCCGGGCTGCCCTCCTAACTCCCATCTGACATATGTACCCCAGCATCTGGGGTACATGAGAGCCTATCCTTTGCAGGGTCAGGCACCAAGCTCCAGGAGAGCCAAGAGCTGGGCATGGTGCCCTGCAGAGAGGTGAGCGGCGTCTCCATGGTGACCGGGCTGCACACAGGACTTCTGTGGGTTGGGCTGAGGGAGGGGAGAGAGGTCACCGCTGGGCCAGGGAGCCCAGACGGCTTCGGCCCAAGGCTTTCATTCTGCCCCTACCATCTCCTGCAACCCTTCAGAGACCAGAGGTCCAAGGCTGCGCTGCCTGGCCTCCCTCCTCCACTGTGCCCCCTGCCAGCTCTTTCCCGAGGTGAATCGGAAAGGGAGGGCGGGAAGGCCATCCCACCCTGGCGGTCCCCAGCCGTGTGGCCTCTGACAAGCCCACTGAACCCCTGGATCTCACTCTTTCCGTCTGCAGTGGAGCCAAGGCACATTCACGCCAACCCTAGGTCCCACCCAGACCGTGGGCCTGCGGGAGCAGTTCGGGGCGCCCGTCCTCGCGCAGCTCAAAGCGGAAGGCGGCCACGCCGCGGCTGATGTCCCGGTGCGGCGTGGCCTGCAGGAACAGGGCCCGGCGCTCGCGGGGACCCCAGCGCACGCAACGGTCCCGTGCCGGGCCCGCGCCCTCGGCCAGCACCAGCTCCAGGGCGCCGCCCGCGCGCTCCGCGAAGACCTGGGTGCCCGCGAAGAGCCGCGCCGGCCGCAGACAGGCGATGGCGGGCCGCGCGCCGGGGTCGGAGCCGCCCAGGGTCAGGCCAGCGCCGCAGCCGGGTGGAGCCACTGGACCGCACCCTCCCGGAGGGGAACCCCGCCCAGCGCTCTGCGCGCCCCGGGTGGCGCGTGGGGGGTTGGGGACGGCGCCCCGCCCGGACCGTACCTGCCCCCCCAGCTGCAGCGCTTCTGGGAGGAGCCGGCGCGGCCAGGAGGCCTCAGCACAGCGCGCAGAGCAGCGCGGGGGCCGGGAACCCCATGGCGCGGCGGGCGGCGTCCGGGGGCTCGGGGCTCCCACGGCCGCTGCCCCGGCGGGGCGCGGGTCCGGGCGGCGGCGGGAGCAGCCCCCGGCGCCGGCCGCCCGGCCCCCCGCGAAGCCCCCAAGCCCGCGGCCGCTCCGCCCGCCGCGCCGCTCCCGCGCCAGGGACGCCTCGGAGAGGACCGGGAAGGGGCGGGGCCGGTGGCGCCCCGACCAATCGCGGCGCGGCCCGGAACTTTCCGCCAATAGCAGGGGCGGAGCAGAGAGGGGGTGGGACGGGGCGGGGCCGGAGCCCGGGCGCCACGGGAGGACGATCCCACGGCCCCAGAGCTGACAGGGGCCTCGGCGCGCGAGGGAGGCTCCTTGCCCGCCCCGCGCTGTGCGTCGCCCCCTCCCCGCGCCCTCACCCTGGCCTCGCCCTCCGCGCCGTCCAGATCGGAGCCCTGGAGCCCGTGATGGAGCCGGGGTTTTCATGTCCATTGGAATCTGGGGGTGCTAGGGGAGGTGGCCCACCTGGTGGCTCTGCCACGCCCCCTGATTGGACGGCGGGGTCTCGTCCTTCCTAACACTGGGACCTGGGCCTGTTGCCCACATCCCTCCCAACCTGCTACGGTCCTGCTGAACCCTCCCCAGTGGCATTTGGTGCCCCTGAGAAGAGAGATCATGACTCCAGGGGTGGGGACAGCCTGGCCTGGGGGCTGCGACTTGGAGCTGGGCCAGGCCTTGGGTTTTGGTAAGGCCGTCCGCAGGACGGGGTGCTGTGGAGCGAGCAGCCCGCAGGCTTGGGCCCCTTTCCTCAGACCTAGTGGTACCCTATGGTTGCCCATGACTGACACCGGGCCAGACGTGAATGGGGCAGCCACAGGCACCCCTGCAGCCCGTGGAGACACAGGACCTGGGGGACACAGGAGCAGCTCCCACCAAGGCGAAACAAGCAGAAACAGGCGATTCTCACACACACTCTGGCCTCAGGCTGGGGCATTGAGGGATTCCCAACATCCCAGCGGCTGAGTTTGGCCTGATGGGTGGGAGTGGCCAGTGGCTGGCCAGAGAATCGGAAAGAGCAGACAGCCTGGGTCAAGGCCCTGAGGAAGGAGCTCTTGGCAGCCCGGTGAACCCCAGGGCACCAGTGGTGAGCGGGGACAAGAGGTCAGATCACAGAAGGCCTAAGGCACAAGCCAAAGGATCAGACTACACACTGAACCCCTTAAAGACAAGAGAAGCGGCCGGGCGCGGCGGCTCACGCCTGTAATCCCAGCACTTTGGGAGGCCGAGGCGGGTGAATCACGGGGTCAGGAGTTCGAGACCAGCCTGGCCAACACGGTGAAATGTAATCCATGCCTGTAATCCCAGCACTTTGGGAGGCTGAAGCAGGAGGATTGCTTGAGGTCAGGAGGTCACCAGTCTGGCTAACACGGTGAAACCCCAACTCCACTAAAAATACAAAAATTAGCTGGGTGCAGCAGCTCATACCTGTAGTCCTAGCCCTTTGGGAAGCCAAGGTGGGAAGATTGCTTGAACCCAGGAGGCTGAGGCTGCAGTGCGCTGTGATTGCACCACTGCACTCCAACCTGGCGCACAGAGTGAGACCCCATCTCAGTAAAAATAAAAAATTAAATAGGCCAGGCACAGTGCTCACGCCTGTAATGTCAATAGTTTGGGAGGCCAAGGTGGGCGGATCATGAAGTCAGGAGATCGAGACCATCCTGGCCAACATGGTGAAACCCCGTCTCTACTAACAATACAAAAATTAGCTGGGCGTGCTGGCGGGCACCTGTAGTCCCAGCTACTCAGGAGGCTGAGGCAGGAGAATCGCTTGAACCAGAGAAATGGAGGTTGCGGTGAGCCGAGATCTCACCACAGCACTCCAGCCTGGTGACAGAGCAAAACTCCATCTTAAAATAAATAATAAATAAAAATAAGGTCTGCCGAGCTCACACGTGTAATCCCAGCAGTTTGGGAAGCTGAGGTCAGGAGATCGAGACCATCCTGGCCACCATGGCGAGACCCCCGTCTCTACTAAAATACAAAAAATTAGCTGGGCGTGGTGGTGCCCACCTGTAGCCCCACCTACTCAGGAGGCTGAGGCAGGGGAACCGCTTGGACTGGGAGGCAGAGGTTGTAGTGAGCCGAGATGGCGCCACTGCACTCTGCCTGGCCACAGAGCAAGACTCCGTCTCAAAAATACACAAAATAAATAAAAAGGGTAGGCTGGGCCTGGGGCTGGGCACATGAGGTGCTCCCAGTGGTGGGGAGAGGCCCGCAGGGGTTGGGAGAGGCATGTGGGTCATCCAGGGCTGCAGCCACTTGGCGGTCCACGGGTCAGCGCGGCCCAGCGCAGGCTTCTGAGGCCCACGGCGGGCTCCAGGCGCCCTCTGGTGGCAGCATGAGGATCAGCCCCAGACACCCTCCTGACAGCCTGGGCCCTGGACTTCCTCCCAGGCCTCCCCAGAGACGGGCCAGTGTCTGTGGTTGGAGAGAGGGGTTGCCAGGATGACCCGGTCTGGAAGGGCACATGCCTGGCCCCAAGTTGACGCCTCAACCCCGGACCTCCCTAACTCCCCTCGAGCCTCATCTCCCGGGGATCCGGTTTCAATGCAGCCACCCAAGGGAGCGGCCCTGGACACACACCACTACTCACAGCCCCTAGCCCCACCCAGGAAAGCACCTTGGGTCAGTGGGTGCTCCGCTGCCTACGGGAGGGGCCTGGAAGGCGGAGTCCGACCTCGGTTGCTATGGGAACAGGACCCAGCGTGCCAGGGTGCATGCGCAGTAAATACCCAGAAATGGGCAGGGCACGGTAGCCAGTGCCTATCATCCCAGCACTTTGAGAGGCCGAGGCAGGTGGATCACAAGGTCAGGAGTTCGAGACCAGCCTGGCCAAGATGGTGAAACCTCGTCTGTACTAAAAATACGAAAATTAGCCGGGCATGGTGGCACGCACCTGTAATCCCAGCTACTCAGGAGGCTGAGGCAGGAGAATCACTTGAACCCGGGAGACAGAAGTTGCAGTGAGCTGAGATCACGCCATTCGACTCTAGCCTGGGCGACAGAGTGAGATGCCATCTTAAAAAAAAATACCCAGGCCGGGCGCAGTGGCTCACGCCTGTAATCCCAGCACTTTGGGAGGCCGAGGCAGGTGGATCACGAGGTCAAGAGATAGAGACCATCCTGGCCAACATGGTGAAAACCCGTCTCTACCAACAATACAAAAATTAGCTGGGCACGGTGGCGTGCGCCTGTAGTCCCAGCTACTTGGAGGCTGAGGCAGGAGAATTGTCTGAGTCTGGGAGGCAGAGGTTGCAGTGAGCTGAAATTGTGCCACTGCACTCCAGCCTGGAGCCTGAAGACAAAGTGAGACTCTGTCTCAAAAAAAAAAAAAAAACCCAGAGACTAAGTGCCAGGTGGCCAGGCAGAGGAGTGCCTGGAAGCCATCCCAAAGTTCAGGTGATGCCCCAGCTGTCTGCACTGTTTGGGGGCCCCTCGAGTGCCTCTAGTCCCAGATCCTCCAGCATCCTGAAACCACAGAAGGGGCCTCTCCCCATTTCCACCCAAGTCAGAACAAGAATGACAGCAAGAGGGACTCAAGTCAGACAAAAGGAAGAACCTCCCTCAGGTTTTGCTTCAGGAAGCTTGGGCATGGCGTGTGAGGCTGCTCTGGGAGTGCAGAGGTTGGGACATCGTCTCCCCCTGCCTGCAAGTCCGCCTGACCAGGGCCAAACACGCATGCAGCATCACAAGGCCCCTGAGCCCAAAGCAAAGCAGCCGGCCTGGCAGCTTGTCCCGAAGCCTGAGGCGTGGTTTCTGTCCCTGGCTTGCCCAGAGCGGCCTTGAAGGTGCAGTCTGAGGGGCTGCTGCGGTGGGGGCGTTTGAGACTTTGGTCACTGCTCACGGTTCCCACCTTCGGCCACTGCGCTCTCCCCGAACACAGGGCCTGGCCGGAGGAGGGCAGCAGTGCTGCATTCCCCATGAGCTGGGCCCAACCAGTGCCTGGCACAGGCAGCCCCGAGTCCCACAGGGGAGCGGCTGCAGACAGGTGGCTGCCCCACGGGGTGCAGAGTGACTCGACAGGGAAACCGTGGTGCTGGCCACAGACTGTCACAGCCAGGGCAGGGGTTGGGCTGGCTGGGGCCCCGGGGAAGCCACACCAAAGGTGAGGAAAGTCGATGGGAGGGGACAGGAAGGGAGCCTCAATCCTGGGGAGCAGGGGGCAAAGGCTCGGAGGCAGGTGGAGCTTCAAATAAACCAGGGACCACAGAGGCTCCCCATTTGCTTGAAGCTCCATCTGCCTCAGAGCCTTTGACCATCTGCAAAGGGGAGGTGGGTGTACCAGCAAACAGACCCCCCCAGGAAATGGGGAGAAAGCCTAGAGAGAAGGGTCATACCGCACACCAAGACCCCCACCTGCGTCTCCATTTCCTGGCAGTGGAGCGAGGAGAGAAGTGTGGGCTGACCTGAGGCCAGCCCCTCCTGTGTCCCCAGCTGTCCCCTGCTGCCCCCTCCCCAGCTGGAATTGGGATCTGGACAGTGAAGATCGCTCCCACGACTGAGGGGCAGTGGGTGCCAAGAGCCTGCCAGGCCCGGTGCCATCCAGAAACAAGCTCTGATAGTGTAGCCACGAGCACCGGGCTTCGTCCCCCCACCCAGCTGACCTGTGAGGCTCAGGGTGCGTGAGGGCCCATCAAGGACACGGTCCTGGCTGCCAACTTGCCCAGGCAGCCTGCACAACCCCTGACTCCCCTCCACCGGCCACCTGCCCCCTTCCACAGGCAGCATCCGGCCTCAGCCACCCACAGGCCTGCACTCCAGGCCCACGGAAGCAAGGTTCCTATCTTGGGGATGCTTTCCTCCCTTTGCCGAGAGATCCACCCCCCTACACCTTGCATCTCCTCAAGGAGCCGAAAATGCAGCTGCCAACTGATTTGCTGCGGAGCTAAAAATAACTGCCAGGCTCCAGCCAGGGCCCAGGAAAATATCCCATTGCTAGGAGACAGCCGTTACCGGGAGACCGGCATTGCTAGGCGACGCGTGTTGCTATGGTGACGGCTGGGCCCTGAGTCATCCTCAGCCTGGATGGGGGCGGGCCAGGCAGGGAGCAGAGCTGGAGGGCATCGAAGAAATCCCTCTGCCTGTGGCACTCAGGGTGCCCCACGGCTGTGAGGGTCTCACACCTACGGGTCTCCATTCTGGCCATGGAGGGGCCAGGACAGCCAAGCACACCCACAGCCTGCTGCCTCACATGGACTCTCCCGGGTGCTCTGGGGCCATCCTCCGGGCAGGGGGCCGGTGGGGGGGGGGGGGCGTGTGCCCATCTGGTGCCCAGAGCAATCACTTTGCTCTCAAGGGTGGGGATCTCACCACAGGTGCAGTGCTGAAGTGATGTAGCTCTCCTCGAGGTCCTCCAAAGTCTCAGGGAAAGATGTACCAGCAGCCTCTGGTCCTCGCCCCAACAAGTCCTGAGTGCCCTCCCAGCCGCCTAGATGGGAGACTCCTCTGTGCTCAGGCATCAAGGCAAGGGGTGGTCCAGGTGAAGGGTGCTCCCACAGGGGTTCTGTAGGAATGGGGTGTTCCACGTGAGGGCACTCCAGGTGAGGACGTGTTCCACGTGAGAGGGGCACCAAGTGAGGGTTCTTCAGCAGAGGAGTGCTCCAGGTGAGAGGGTGCTCCAGGTGAGGGTGCTCCAGGTGAGGGTGCTCCAGGTGAGGGTGCTCCAGGTGAGGGTGCTCCAGGTGAGAGGGTGCTCCAGGTGAGGGTGCTCCAGGTGAGGGTGCTCCAGGTGAATGGTGCTCCAGGTGAGAGGGTGCTCCAGGTGATAGGGTGCTCCAGG